TTTCATTCATAGAATTTGTCTAGTCAAAATGGAATTTTTGACAATTGAGGAAGCCTGTCATGGACCGTGGCAGTCAGAGACCTGTAGGATCTCCAGCTGAAAGAAAGGATTTATTCATTTGAGAGGTTATTTTGCTTGGTGATATATTTAAAAAACTGTGTTTGTTCTTCATCACGGGTTCTGGCACAGAATTACTAAAACTCTTAATATATCTTGACCAAGAGTTGTAACTTTGATTGTTAACCTTTCCCCCTTGAAGTGGTATGTAAATAAATACTACTTAGGTGGTACATGGTACCATCCCAGATAAACAAGGATCACAAAAACTGTGATCTTCCTGATTTTAACCTTAGAAGTAGTTAGTATGACAAGTTTGAGCCACCAGGGTCTAAAAAGTTCTTTTTTTGGTATTGTGTAATGTAATCATCTTTTACCTTGGAAATTCAAATAGCCATTGTTGGAATGTTATTGATTGGTTGGCTTGAAGTACAAAGATAACTCTAGGAGGAAATCAAGAAAAATAATACAGATAATCCTATTTTTATCACTTTAATTAAAACCTGAGTATCTTTTATTCATTTCTTTTTTGTTTGTATCATTTTGTTTAGTTTTTTCCAGTGCTTGGGAAAGAATCTGTGGACTTGCTCATGCTCAGAAATTGACCTACCACCAAGCTATTCATTTCTTTTCTAAAGGATTCACTTATTTTTATATTTCAATGTTTTTGGTGAAGTGAAAATATTTCATGAGCCCCAATCTCCAAAATAACCACAGCAAAAAGACTGGAAATGTGGCTTAATTACTAGAGAATCTGCTTTGCAAACATAAAACCCTGAACTCAAAGACTTGTTGACCAAAAATAAAAAGCAAGGAGAAAAATGCAGAAAATGATGCTATATAACTCAACATTTTCATCAGCCCACTAGATGCAAGTGTTACAGATTTCATTCATGAACTCCAAATAAAAGCTTTTTTAAAATTTATTATTCATATGTGCATACAAGGCTTGGGTCATTTCTCCCCCCCTGCCCCCACCCCCTCCCTTACCACCCACTCCACCCCCTCCATCTCTCCCCTACCCCTTCAGTACCCAGCAGAAACTATTTTGCCCTTATTTTTAATGTTGTTGTAGAGAGAGTATAAGCCATAATAGGAAGGAACAAGGGTTTTTGCTTGTTGAGATAAGGATAGCTATACAGGGAGTTGACTCACATTAATTTCCTGTGCATGTGTGTTACCTTCTAGGTTAATTCTTTTTGATCTACCCTTTTCTCTAGTTCCTGTTCCCCTTTTCCAATTGGCCTCAGTTGCTTTTAAGGTATCTGCTTTACTTTCTCTGCGTTAAGGGCAACAAATGGTAGCTAATTTTTTAGCTGTCTTACCTATCCTCACCCCTCCCTTGAGTGCTCTCGCTTTTATCATGTGCTCAAAGTCCAATCCCATTGTTGTGTTTGCCCTTGATCTAATGTCCACACATGAGGGAGAACATACGATTTTTGGTCTTTTGGGCCAGGCTAACCTCACTCAGAATGATGTTCTCCAATTCCATCCATTTACTGGCGAATGATAACATTTCATTCTTCATGTTTGCATAAAATTCCATTGTGTATAGATACCACATTTTCTTAATCCATTCGTTGGGGGTGGGGCATCTTGGCTGTTTCCATAACTTGGCTATTGTGAATAGTGCCACAATAAACATGGGTGTGTAGGTGCCTCTGGAGTAACCTGTGTCACAGTATTTTGGGTATATCCCCAAGAGTGGTATTGCTGGATCAAATGGTAGATCAATGTCTAGCTTTTTAAGTAGCCTCCAAATTTTTTTCCAGAGTGGTTGTACTAGTTTACATTCCCACCAACAGTGTAAGAGGGTTCCTTTTTCCCCACATCCTCGCCAACACCTGTTGCTCATGGTGTTGCTGATGATGGCTATTCTAACAGGGGTGAGGTGGAATCTTAGCGTGGTTTTAATTTGCATTTCCTTTATTGCTAGAGATGGTGAGCATTTTTTCATGTGTTTTTTGGCCATTTGAATTTCTTCTTTTGAGAAAGTTCTGTTTAGTTCACTTGCCCATTTCTTTATTGGTTCATTAGTTTTGGGAGAATTTAGTTTTTTAAGTTCCCTGTATATTCTGGTTATCAGTCCTTTGTCTGATGTATAGCTGGCAAATATTTTCTCCCACTCTGTGGGTGTTCTCTTCAGTTTAGAGACCATTTCTTTTGATGAACAGAAGCTTTTTAGTTTTATGAGGTCCCATTTATCTATGCTATCTCTTAGTTGCTGTGCTGCTGGGGTTTTTGAGAAAGTTCTTACCTATACCTACTAACTCCAGAGTATTTCCTACTCTTTCCTGTATCAACTTTAGAGTTTGTGGTCTGATATTAAGATCCTTGATCCATTTTGAGTTAATCTTGGTATAGGGTGATATACATGGATCTAGTTTCAGTTTTTTGCAGACTGCTAACCAGTTTTCCCAGCAGTTTTTGTTGAAGAGGCTGCTATTTCTCCATCGTATATTTTTAGCTCCTTTGTCAAAGACAAGTTGGTTATAGTTTGTGGCTTCATATCTGGGTCCTCTATTCTGTTCCACTGGTCTTCATGTCTGTTTTTGTGCCAGTACCATGCTGTTTTTATTGTTATTGCTTTGTAATATAGTTTGAAGTCAGGTATTGTGATACCTCCTGCATTGTTCTTTTGACTGAATATTGCCTTGGCTATTCGTGGCCTCTTGTGTTTCCATATAAATTTCACGGTAGATTTTTCAATCTCTTTAATGAATGTCATTGGAATTTTGATGGGAATTGCATTAAACATGTAGATTACTTTTGGGAGTATCAACATTTTTACTATGTTGATTCTACCAATCCATGAGCATGGGAGATCTCTCCACTTTCTATAGTCTTCATCAATCTCTTTCTTCAGAAGTATATGGTTTTCCTTGTAGAGGTCTTTCACATCTTTTGTTAGGTTTACACCTAGGTATTTGATTTTTTTGAGGCTATTGTAAATGGAATTGTTTTCATACATTCTTTTTCAGTTTGCTCATTGTTAGTGTATAGAAATGCTAATGATTTTTCTATGTTGATTTTATATCCTGCTACCTTGCTATAGCTATTGATGATGTCTAGAAGCTTCTGAGTAGAGTTTTTTGGGTCTTTAAGGTATAGGATCATGTCGTCTGCAAATAGGGATATTTTGACAGTTTCTTTACCTATTTGTATTCCTTTTATTCCCTCTTCTTGCCTAATTGCTCTGGCTAGGAATTCCAGTACTATGTTGAATAAGAGTGGAGATAGCGGGCACCCTTGTCTGGTTCCTTAGTTTAGAGGGAATGGTTTCAGTTTTTCACTGTTAAATATAATGCTGGCTGTAGGTTTGTCATATATAGCTTTTATAATGTGGAGGTACTTTCTTTCTATTCCTAGTTTTCTTAGAGCTTTTATCATGAAATGGTGTTGGATCCTATCAAAGGCTTTTTCTGCATCTATTGAGATGACCAAGTTATTTTTGTCTTTGCTTTTGTTAATGTGGTTTATTACGTTTATTGATTTTCATATGTTGAACCACCCCCACATCCCTGGGATGAAGCCTACTTGGTCGTGATGAATAATCTTTTTGATGTGTTGTTGAATTCGGTTTGCCATTACTTTGTTGAGGATTTTTGCATCAATGTTTATTAAGGAGATTGGCCTATAGTTCTTCTTTTTGGACGTGTTTTTGCCTGGTTTTGGGATAAATGTAATACTGCCTTCATAAAATGTGTTAGGTAGTTTTCCTTCCCTTTCTATTTCATGGAACAGTTTAAGGAGGGTTGGTGTCAGTTCTTCTTTAAAGGTCTGATAGAATTCGGTAGAGAATCTTCAGGTTCTGAGATTCTGTCTTCTGTTCTATTCTGCTTGATTGGCCTTCCGTTTTGTTTTGCAGGTCTGTTTCATTCTTTTTTCTGAGGTTTTCCATATCTTGGGTCATTTCCTCTTTAATTTGGTCTATTTTTGTGCAGAGTTCATTTATCTGTTTATTCATTGTGTTCTCTCTTTCACTTTGGTGTTTAAACAGTGCTTCTATGGTTTCCTTTATTTCTTCTTTTGCTTTTGCAAATTCTCTATTTTTGTTGTCTTGGAATTTCTTGAGTACTGGGAAAGGTGACACTGCACCTGCATTGTCAGGCCTGCGTGTTTATTTACAGTTCATGTGGGAAATGGGTCTTCCCCCCTCTCCTGTGCAGTTTTCCTCCCTCCGCCACTCTCACAAGCTTTCCCGCTCCTGGTTGCTGGGCATGTGCCCCCGCTCCTGCTGGAGCCTCTCCTGCCTTCCCGGCTTGTTTATTTACAGTTCCTGGATGTATTCCCTTCCCCCAATCTTTGGTGCTCAGTGCACCCCACCCTCTTTCCCACGTGTCTTTATTGTTCTTATTGCTTATTACTCGTTTCTCTTTTTTCCCCGGTGGAGGTCGGTCTGTCCAGGGGCTATGCTGCTCTGGCCCAGGCTTGTCTGTGGGAGTACCGTGGTACCATGAAGCTCACCTGGTATGCGACTTGCCAAGCCATCTGGGTGCCGGCGACTCTGAGCTGGCTGGAGTTGTGGAGGGGTCCAAGTTTTGCCTCTTCTCAGTGATTTTGCCTGCAAAGTGTGTTTCAAGCGTCTCCCCAAGATTTCACTGTAGGAAGGTCGCTTTCTGCTTCCTCCCTTTAGCCACCATCTTGGAATCCTCAAAATGAATCCAGTGAATTTTTTCCAAAGTGTCACACATTCTAAGCTATCAAGTGGAGTTTAAATATTGTAAAACTATAAAATTCAACAAAGTCTGGTGTTCTGGGAGATAGTGTGTTATCAGTTTGATGGTGCATAGTATTTGAAGTAAGGTGAACTACAGGTAAATGATGGTGGGTGTTCTTTCCTTTCTAAATGTATAACTGTTGTTAATATGGTACTGTTTTCTCTTCAGTGTTTTGACTTTGACATGTATAGTTATTCTGGATTTACATTTCTCTATGAACGCATGAAGATTATCTGTGAGGGTATGAGTAAAATGTAAGTACATTTTGCTAATGTCATATATACTCAGTTTCTGAATTTCACATTTCATTTAAGTGGAGACTTAAAATGACTGAATTGATCTCAACCAGCAAAAACCCTTGTTCCTTCCTATTATTGCTTATACTCTCTCTACAACAAAATTAGAGATAAGGGCAAAATAGTTTCTGCTGGGTATTGGGGGGGGGAGAGGGAGGGGCGGAGTGGGTGGTAAGGGAGGGGGTGGGGCAGGGGGAGAAATGAATCAAGCCTTGTATGCACATATGAATAATAAAGGAAAAATGAAAAAAAATGACTGAATTGAAATGTTCTTTCTCAGAAATATCAGTATAGAGGCCTAGAGTTTTCTCACTAGTAGATCAGAGTAAAGGAACATGATAGGTTACCAGAGTTATATCCTCAAGTTTCTGTGCTGATCAATGGAATCTTAGGCTTTATAGGGCTACTTTTCAGCACTGAGTGTGTTCTTCACCCTTGAAGTTTTTATGAAATTATTGCACTATTTGGGTTTTCCCAAATTAAGGAATGCAGATGGCACATGTGCTAGGTAAAAAAGATCTTTCTTTCCAAGAAAGGGGATGAACTCGGGAGGTAACAGTGATGACACGTAGCTAAATCAACTTTCACTGCTGGTACATTATTCCTTGTTTTAATTCTGTTCTGATGGTGACAGTCTAGAGGACTTTTCTGCTGATTCAGGCTCAGGGTGGGTAAGAGTGAGCATGACTGCAGGAAGAACAGAAAAGTGTAAGCATTTTCTTTGCACTATTTTCTACAAACTGAGAAAATCCTTTTTCCATCTTATCCATTAACCTGTGTTCTTATTTTGACCCTTTGGAATTAGAAAAAGTATTAGACCTATTTCTTAAATACTTTTTGGGTGATGTCTTTGAATGTGTTTCACAAACAAGTATGTGTGATACTGAACTAAACTATTTTTACTTTTATTTCACTGGTGATGGTTTTGGAGTCTTTTTTAGAAGTCTTCTCCAGGATGTGAAAAATAGTTCTGATTAACACTCATAATAAGTCCTGTGGGTATAAGAAACAATTTCAGGACTCTATTTCATAATTAGAATTAGAGAAATATCAGTGGAGATCACATCAATTGCCAATCCATTTAAGCATTACACATTTTTTATTTATTTGGATTTCTAACACTGATTTTATTCATCTTATTCCTAAATCACAGACATAGATCCTGATTCATACATCGTATTTTATGTTGAATAGACATGTCCATTTCTCAATCAAGTTCTCATTCATTAGTGTATGCAGTACACTAATTCTTTTTTTTGGCTTTTATTGCAGATATTTATCCTGACTTTTTTTCTTTTGCCACTCTACTATATTAACGTTCCACTTTCATTTTGTATGTTCCTTGGGTAATGACTTTCAAAATGCTCTTCTTTTTGTGTTACTTTCACACAGAGACTTTACACATAGTTCTTATTATGTGTCCCTGGATAATGCTGAATATATGCTAGTCCTTCCTTAGTTTTGCAAATGCTGGGATGACAGGCACGTGACACTATGACTTCAAAAGTATTCAGATTTTATGTTTCCTATTTCCCATGTGATTTGATCATTGTCCATGATATTGGGCAATACAGTATGTGATTTCAAGGAGGAACTGGATTTCAGATTTTGTGCTTTTACGCACCATTGTATGATGTGTCTCCTGTCATGAATCAATTTTCTCTTACTTTAAAGTCAAAGGAAGACTGGTTCTCTTTCCTCTGAGGCCTATTTGTTAATTTCTTTCTCATAGTGCAGTGTCCTTGATAATGCAGTTGAAACACTGTTTATCAATATTATATAGTAGGACACTTTGTGTTCTTTCCCTTGCTCTCTTCCATTCTTCTTCAGCATGTTTCCTTTTCTGACAGTGGTTCTTGCTATGTAGATGAGTCCAGTGTTGAATCTGTGATTTTCTGGTGGAATTCCAAGATTAGGCCCACAATTGGGTCAAGGGATCATATTCTTAGTCCCATTAGTTTTCATTGCTGTTTGCAATTTATGACCCTAAATACACTTTGATAGGTAGTTTTGTTCATGAGTGTTAAGGTGTATTTTGATATTGCACAATTGTACACAGCTAGGTGATGTGATGACTTGTTTAAATCCTTTATTTATATTGCATGTGACACACTTCTTCTTTGTACTATATGTTTTTGCATGCTAAAGCAAAAACTAAATTTATCTGAAAGGTCCTCCATGTGTATTATTTAGCTTTAACTTTTGGTTAGTCTATAAGAGACCAGGTAGAAGCTTCCAAATGTTCTCTTTTCATACAGTCATCAAGGAGGTGCTCAATTCCAAGGGAAACTTTTTACAAAAGAGATATTAAATACTGTTTTTTCATACCAATTTTCTCTTCATAACCATGAGTGCATTGTGGGTTCTCTTAGTACAAACTCTCTGGTGGACATTGTAGATATGTGCAAATAATCATAAATAGTATGTATACAATAAGATATTATTGGAGTAAATTGTTTTTAGGACATTCTCCCCTTTTACCACTTTATATTTGGTTTGGTAAGGTTCATCTCATTAGCAGTTCTGCAATACCAGAAGACATGAGGCTTTATTCATGTATTAAAAACATTATTTCTCTAGTCAGTTTTCCACTGATATTACTTTAATTGGAAATAAGAAGGATCTTGTCAATAGAGTGCTACAATATCAGTGTGTAAAATGTAATTTTTGTGACCATGTTGTGCTTTGAATTTAAGAAATAGGTCCAGTGAGATGTAAGAATTACCATGAAGTGACTGTGAGGATAATGGAGAATGAAATTGTGATAAAAACAAAATGCATTGAATATGTGGAGACCACATCACGATGTGTACTTAGTACACAGATAGTGTCTGTTTCCACTACTGTGACACTCACAGTTCTTCTCACAAATGTGTGTGTGACATATTAGGAGCCCCTGAACTTGAGGATGTTGCTGTGAACTTCACCCTGGAAGAATGGGGCTGTTTGAGTCCTTCTCAAAAGAAGCTCTACAGAGAAGTGATGCTAGAAACCTATAGCAACCTGTCCTACATAGGTAAATATGGCATCATTACCTTACAAAAACTGTGCCCTAGTGTTGTGAATCATTGATGTTTTTGCTTTATGAGATGTTTAAAAAGGGCACTAATGGTTCATATACATCCTTATTTTATAATACAATGGAAATAGCTGAAGTCTCAAATTGTTCTTTCACATTGATTAAATTCTAATGATTTCTCTGTGTCTGTACCTTACAAACAAAGAAGAAAATGAAAATATTGAAGTGGACTTCAGCAATCCGAGAAGAAATATGAGGTAATTTGTGCTAACGAAAATAGTGAACATCAAGTTTGTCATTGACAAGAAGTTTGAAAACCATGCATTTGAGACCACAGTTTGTATTTATAAGTTTTGAAATCCCTGAAAAGTTTCTCTAATATCAGACAAAGAAATTAAGCATCCAGAATCAAAAAATTCAAAATCTGATATGTGCCATAATTCTTAATATATTTTGTCCTAAGAAGTCGCAAGGGACACTGTCCTATTGCTCAATATACAAAAATAATCCCACACTTTACACAAACTGATTTAACTATATTACATCAAATTCTGAAACAGGAGGATTATCACGTGCACTGACTGGTATAGACTGTCCCATTTTCAACCTATGTCCTCGTGTTCATTCTTGTATTTCACAACCGTACATGCTTTTGATCCAGGGTATCTCTTTTTTTTTTTTTTTCATTTTTCTTTTATTATTCATATGTGCATACAAGGCTTGGGTCATTTCTCCCCCCTGCCCCCACCCCCTCCCTTACCACCCACTCCGCCACCCCCAATACCCAGCTGAAACTATTTTGCCCTTATTTCTAATTTTGTTGTAGAGAGCGTATAAGCAATAATAGGAAGGAACAAGGGTTTTTGCTGGTTGAGATAAGGATAGCTATACAGGGCATCGACTCACATTGATTTCCTGTGCGTGTGTGTTACCTTCTAGGTTAATTCTTTTTGATCTAACCTTTTCTCTAGTACCTGTTCCCCTTTTCCTATTGGCCTCAGTTGCTTTAAGGTATCTGCTTTAGTTTCTCGGCGTTAAGGGCAACAAATGCTAGCTAGTTTTTTAGGTGTCTTACCTATCCTCACCCCTCCCTTGTGTGCTCCCGCTTTTATCATGTGCTCATAGTCCAATCCCCTTGTTGTGTTTGCCCTTGATCTAATGTCCACATATGAGGGAGAACATACGATTTTTGGTCTTTTGAGCCAGGCTAACCTCACTCAGAATGATGTTCTCCAATTCCATCCATTTACCAGCGAATGATAACATTTCGTTCTTCTTCATGGCTGCATAAAATTCCATTGTGTATAGATACCACATTTTCTTAATCCATTCGTCAGTGCTGGGGCATCTTGGCTGTTTCCATAACTTGGCTATTGTGAATAGTGCCGCAATAAACATGGATGTGCAGGTGCCTCTGTAGTAACAGTCTTTTGGGTATATCCCCAAGAGTGGTATTGCTGTGATCCAGGGTATCTCAGTAGGCACTTTAATTGTATTTCAATGTAGTAAAACTCATTAACTGTTGTTAAGCACCTAACATGGAAATAGAATTATGGAAATAAAAATGACCACAACTGTATCAGTAATAGTTTTCCTCAGGCACTGCTGCAGAACATGTAGTACATTAGTATTCATAAATCCTACAAAAACAAACAGCATAACTTCTCTTAATAAGTCATTAATAGGATAACAATGGTAATCTTTGTCTGTTTTGCAGACCTGAAGTGTTAGAGATACTGCATGAGCATAAACAACATATTCAATGTGGAGAATCCTTTCACCAGACTTCAGAGAATATTGTAACCAAGGAAACTCTGCTTAGAATAACACCATGGCAAAGCAATATATGTAATGCTTATGGGAAAACTTTCACTGATTGCAAGTCTCTTCTAATCCATGAAAAGATACACAATGTAGTGAAATCTCACGGATGGAAACAGTGTGGAAAAGCCTGCCCTCAATCTGATACCTTGCACATTCATGAAACATCTCACAATAGTGAGAAACCCTATGGATGTAAACAATTTGGGAAAGCCTACACTCATTCCAGTAATCTTCATATTAATGAGAGAATTCACAGCGGACAAAAACCTTATGGATATAAACAATATGGGAAAGTTTTCACTCAACCTAGTTATCTTCAAATTCACGAAAGGACACACACTGGAGAGAAGCCCTATGGATGTAAGAAATGTGGGAAAGTTTTCACAAGAGCCTGTTACCTAAGAAGGCATTCAAGAACTCACACTGGGGAGAAACCCTATGGATGTAAGAAATGTGGGAAATTCTTCACCCATGCATGTTACCTTCGATATCATGAAAGAATTCACACTGGCGTAAAACCCTATGGATGTAAGCAATGTGGAAAAGTTTTTACACGAGCCTGTTACCTTAGAAAGCATTCAAGAACTCACACTGGGGAGAAACCCTATGAATGTAAGCAATGTGGGAAAGCCTACAGTGATTCCACTAAACTTCGTATTCATGAAAGAACTCACAGTGGAGAGAAACCATATGGATGTAAGCAGTGTGGGAAAGCATTTAATCAAGGCAGTTACCTTCGTAGACATAGTAGAACTCACACTGGAGAGAAACCCTATGAATGTAAGCAGTGTGGGAAAGGCTTCTCTGATTCCAGTTACCTTCGTATTCATGAAAGAACTCACACTGGAGAGAAACCCTATGGATGTCAACAATGTGGGAAAGTTTTCACTGGATCCAGTTACCTTCGTATTCATGAAAGAACTCACACTGGAGAGAAACCCTATGGATGTAAGCAATGTGGGAAAGCCTTCAATCAACGTACTCACCTACAAGTGCATAGAAGAACTCACACAAAAGTGAAAACTTATAGACGTATGCAATGAGAGAAAGCATTCACTCATTCCACTCACCTTTGAAGACCTGAAGGACTCACAGTGAAGACAAACCTTTTAGATGTAAGCAATGTGGGGAAAGTGTTCACATGTCCCTCTACACTTAAAAGACATAAGGTTACTTAGACTGGGGAAACAAGCTATGGATATGAGCAATTTGCAGTGACATTAACAAATGTGAACTCATTCTGCAGAGAAACTCTATGAATGTAAGGAATGAGAGACAACCTATACTCTCTCCAGTATCCTTCATACTCATCAAAGAATGCAAACAGGACAAACCCAGTGGATATAAGCAATATGGAAAGCCTTCCTTAGTTCGAGTACCTTTCATGTACCTGAAAGAACTCATGGTGTAAATAAACACTAGTGTCATGCCAAATATGATAAAACATTCATATATCCTTGTCTTGGAAATCATGAATGATCTCAGAAACACTATCAATGTAAGTAATGGAAGAATGTTTTAACATTTTCCAGTACTCTTTAATGGAACACAATTCACATTGTAACATAGTGCTTTACATGTGTGTAATGTGGCTAAGCCTTCACACATTCCAGTGCTCCTCTAAAACATACACGATTAAGAATGGAGAATAACTGGATTAGGAAAGCAGTGTGGAAAATCTTCATTCATTTCCATGACCTCAAACATGAAAGTCCACACACTGGAGAGAAAATTATAGCTGTAAGCATAATGAACCTGTCTGTATTCATTGTATTCACCATCAAACATATGTTGTAATACTATCTGTGACAAACCTTACAAAAGCAACATATAGGGGAATATATTCTGTCATTCCTATTACCAAAAAATACATATAAGATATCACAGGTTAGTGAAACTCTGTGTATTTAAGTAATGAGTGAAAGACTTCACATATCCTGTTTCCTTTTAAAAACATGAAGGAACTCCATTCTCACACTCATGACACTGCCCAGTTTATGTATCTTTTGTTAGAGCATGCCATGTCTCCTGCTTTCCTCCAGATACATAATGAAAAATGATGTGAAGAGAAGACTTGACTCATGACTGTTGCTTCCCGGGAAAGGACTGTACCTCCAAGCCACACATCACATCCAGTCTGTTTTATCCTAGTTATTTTGGAGCAAAGACCTGTGAACTCTTTGCCTATGATGACCTCCAATCATGATCCTCCTGGTTTACCCTCTCAAGTATTAATTTATAGGCTTGAGCCACTGGCAATTGGCTTATAAATACTTAGAAATCTGTGGAGAATGTATGTCTACATTTTTTCTCTAGAACAGTCTTTATTCTTATTGTGGTGCCAGCCAATAAAGACAGACACATGGAATCCTGCAACAATAGACTTATTTAAGTGGTGGAAGTGGTGGGTTAATAATTTCCTTGTATGTGCTACTGGAATTTGGACTCAGCACCACATGCTCTCTGCCCCGGTTTTCTACCACTTAAGCCACATTGTCATCCCTTTGTGTATCTTTTTGATTGTGACTTTAAACATGCTCTTCATTTTATAGTGAGACAGGTACTTTTTAACTGGTTAGGTATAATAGGTGACTTTCAATTTGGGATGTTCCAACTTCTATTTTCCAAATGCTGGGATGAAAAAGCAGTGTTACATGACACAGGACAGTCACCTTACATTCTGAAAGACAAGCATTTGCAGGCAGTAGGGGACCTAAAGTCCCAGCAGTGGGATTAGGTCCCACACTGAGCTCTAGCTGACAGCCTTGAGCTGCATCACTCCAGCTGCCTGTTCCAAAGGCCTCTACACCAGGACTACAGATGCCCAGTCACACTCTCAAGTTTTGTGCTTCTAATGTGTACAGATGACTTTCCTACAGTACTGAAGTCAGTAGAAATCACATAGCTGCTCTATGTGATTTCTGCCTGAGAACTCCCACTGTAGCAGACAGAGCAAGTATGTCAAGTGTGCTGTAGGCAACTTGGATTTGCTGTCACTGGTGCACTCACTGGATGATTGGTGCATGTGATTGACCAGCTGTTCTGATTGGCTAATGGATACAGGGCCCGCCTCTCAAGACTTGAGTGAAAGGATAGGGATCCTATATGTAACTGAGTGATTTCAAATGGCAGAATCCTTTCTCAGTAGTTGCCAGATCCCTTTTACTTACATGGAGACCAGTATCAGTTTGAGTGGGAGCAATAATTGCTGCACAACCTGTCCTTATCTTCCAAACCAGGCTCTTCCTTTTTGTCATGATCTTTGGGACCTTCTTGCTCATTCCTGCTGAAACTGAGACAACAGGTCTGCTGAGAGAACTTCAAACTCAATATTCCATGTCAAAAACTCATGTTAGTTAAGGAGGAGATACACAGGAATGCTAGGCCACAGGAAGTCAATGTAGGTTTGATGCTCTAACTCTAGATATCAGAATGAAGCAGATGGTGAGGACTTCCTCTCAGGTCATGTTTCAATCTATCAATGATCAACAGAAATTAAAACATGGAAAAACATGAAATAAACCACTAATTTCATGTATGGAGAAAAATATATTTGTATGGCAATTATATTTCATAAAAATTTAAGAGAAAGGAAAAGGAGACATGGCTGGAGGGCAGGGTGTATTCTGTGGAAGCTTGAAATAAAGCCCTGTCAAAGCATCATATATTTAATTAGCTTTTCCTCTAGCCAAATTGGGTGAAGAGTTTCTGGAATCTTTGGTGGTTGTCACGAATTGATTTTGTTAATTATGGTTAATTTGGTCAAGGAGGAAATTTCAGTGATGAAGGTGGCTTTGATATCACACATAGTTGTGGTTAGTATAATGGTATTGGGAATGTCTACAATGATTTTGGTACCACAGGAAGCAATTTTAGCCATGATAAGACACTGTTAATAAATTTTCACAATTTGGTCCAATGTTTCCAAGAAAGTTGGAGGCAGAAACTCTGGCCCTATTTGTGCTTGAGGCCAATGATTGGGAAAATCAGGAAACCAAGGCAGCTCTGCTGATTCTAGAAACAGCAAGAAATATGCCAGTGGGTGAATGTTCTATTTACTGTGCAAACCAAATGTTAGCAGGAGAGGAGAGCCAGAGAACCTAGAGAGAAGCTACATTTTACTACAGATTCATGAGCTCAGTATATAAAGTGTCTTCTAGTAGATCCCAACTACTGGAAAAAACACTTGTAGTTTCCTATTTCTTTTTCAGGATTTGGGGATGAATTCAGGGTGTAATACATGCTCGGTGTGCATTTTACCACTTGAACCACAAAGCCAGGCTAGAAGACAAATTTTAGACACTACTCACATGCAGGAATAAAAATTTGGAGGACTCTATTTGTGACTTACTGTATAACAGTTTCTTTAGTTTTTGTCCTTTGGAAAGTGTGAAGTGTTCCAATGAAGTGGTTTTATGTGGATTTTATTTTGCACACATGTTATCCATGGCTGTTGTCCAACTTCCAACCCTCTTCTGGACTCTCATGACTATCTTTGCTTTCAGACATGTGCAACATTACTGCCCCCCATATCATATTGAAATGCATATGTGTATCCATACGTCTCCCCCATCAAATTTCCATTCATGTGAGTATGCATATACAAAGGGCTTGGGACCAACCTCTTGGATCGCTGTTTTGTGGGGGGATGGAACTGGGGTTTGAACTGAGAGTTGGCAGGTGCTCTTACCACTTGAGGCAGTAGTCCAGCACTTTTTTTCTGATCAGTTCTTTCAGGTGGGGTCTGTTGAACAATTTTGCATGTGCTGGCTTTGTACCACAATCCTCCTGATCTCTGTCTCTTGAGATTTTAGGATTACAAGGATGAGGCTCTGTGACTGGGATTTGTTTGGGTTCTTTTTGTCACGAAGACTGAGCAGGAACTCAATAATTTTTTTGTGGTCCTGGAGTTTGAATTCAGGGGTTCATGCTTGATAAGAACTGTACCACTTTAGACCATCTCACTACTGCCATATCAACACCACCTAATAAGAGCCAAGGACAAACAATCAAATATGCTCCTATTGCTCAGGACATTTTGAGTTTTACTTACTCTGTAGCATAACCTGGGACCAAGAGCAACACACATAAACTCTGAAATTAAGCTTTTTTGAGGCAGGCATATCCCAAAGGTATCTTATTTCTCACTGTCTATGACAGGCTTTCTTAAGTGTCACCAAGCACATTGTGACTAAACCAATGATCGGAATGCAAATGTGAACAGCTGAAAACTTACCCAGGATTACCCAAGTACTCCTGGTGAACACTGGTGATTAAAGATAACTGCCCCATCACACTTCCTGTTCTCATTACACTTACATGTCCTTCCCTTTGAATCTACAGGAAGGCAAGCACAAACTCAATTTCCACACTTTCTGCCTCAAAATTGTGATCAGTTAAGCTCACAAGAAATAGAACACTCATTAAGCAAATTGCCCTAAATGTTCTCTGCTTCCTCCAAGTCTGTGAACTCTGACCATGTCCAATAAGAACCAGCAAATGACACCTCCTTTACTGACACTCTAAGGACAGGTTGGTCTCAGGGAAAGAATCTCTGTGCCCAGGCAGATGTTGTCTGTTGCATCTTCCCTAGCCTCCCACCTTCTTTCTGCTCCTTTTTGCTCCTCCCTATAAAACACAACCCTGCTTCATCTCATCCTTAAGATCCTGCTGACCTTGCAGTTGGTGCTGTCCTGCCACTGTAACCTCCTTTCACTATGTTCATGTCCTACCTCAATATGTATTTCATTTTTGAAAATACTGTCTAGATCCATGGCAAGGTCAACATCAATTATGTCCGAAGGAGCAGCAGCCTCAAACCCTAAATACTTCCCCAAATCTATTCTTCATCTTGAACACCAAATGCATATACAATCCCCTTGCAGTGATTTGGGCAAAGCACAGATTCCTATAAATTTAGGGATTTACTACAGTCATAAAGAAGTAGTGGGTTATGTGAGTAAATGTTAAAACTATAAAAATTTGTCTGTGATCTCTTCTATAAACTTTTTGTTCA